AGTCAACCATGGCTCAAGAAGGTGAAAGTCACATAGGTGGCGACCCCAGACAGCTCCCACACACCTATTCTCAGTTGCAGGAGGCCATGCACCCACCCCAGGTACCTCAGGCCTAGCACGGAGCGCAGCGATGGAGAAGCACTGCCCTTTGCTCCTTTGAAGCCCCTAGTTCATTATGTGCCAGACACTGTCTAAGCACTTAGCTTTGTTTATGTCATTGAACAAACCCAAAGCAAAGGTACTATTATTTATTCCCATTTCAGAGAAGAGGAAACAGAGGCACAGAGAAGTTAGGTAACTTGCCCAAGGTCACACACTTAAGCTGTAAATGCAAGTCTCTCATCTTGGGGGATGGGGGCAGGTGTATTAAAGTATAATTACATATAGTAAAACTCACCCTTTGTAATGTACGGTTCTGTGAGTTTTGAAAAACATATAGAATCATATAAATACCACCACAATCAGGAAGTAGGATAGTTCTATCATCCTCCAAAACAAGTCCAGTGCTACTCCGACTGCATTGGCTGTATTTTTACATATGACAAAATGAGGTCGGGAGGTTTCCATGTTGCCCAAGGTCATTCAGTGACAGATTCGGAATTAGAACGTTTGAATGTGTCTGCTAGTCCAGCTACCTGCAAAGGTAGATTCCTTAGTCTACAGAGCCCAAGAGGCAGCAGTGGCTTGGGGCACACATAGGACAGAGGGAGGAAGCCCCTTGCTCTAAGCTGGAGCCTCAGAAATCCCCACATCTCCCACTCCACGCAGGGCTACTTAACCAAACACCCACTCCATGGGCAGCTAAGGAACAAAGGTGGCCGTATTCTGCAAGGCCTAAATCCACAAGTAAAGTTGAGCAGCAGGGCAGCTGTGCCATCTAGGAGCTCAGGGTCCAGTCCAGACCACAGTGCCCAGTGCCCTGGCACACCTCCACTGGCCAGTCTGGTTAATGAGTTACTATCCTAGTTAATTTCCCTGCACATCGGGGCTAGACCCCGTGAACCTTCCCGGGCTCCTCAGGCCAAGTGCATGAATTAGCATAGATTACCCAGCTTCTGGGGTTCCGAACTGCCCGACTCACTAGAAACCCACTTCTCCTTCAAGGGGCTGGAGAGCAGCTTGGGTCTAGTAGCACTTGGAGCAGAGGAACTAGCATGCCCCGCTGCCTTCAGGAAGGGGGACACCAGACCTCAGACCCCGCTTCCCCTTTACCCATGCCTACCTGTTGGCTAGCTAGAGTCCCTGGGGTAAACCTGGCCACAGAAGGACAGTTTATAAAAGGCGGGTGGCCTGCAGAGGATGCCAACCGACTAAAGTGGGACTGTGTAGCACTCTACCCTCTACTACAGCCAAATGTCCCTGCCTGGGGCAGAAGGCTGAGGGGTCTGTCTCCAGTCCAACACTGTCCTGGTTAAGGGAATAATGACTGCACCTTAGCACCCAGGGCTGCAAGTTTTAAAAGAGGGAAGGCACCCATCACCCTTACACATCGCAAACCATCTGGGTCTCAAACCATCTATCTCCCAGACAAACTGGATTCCCCATGCCCTCAAGGTCAATGACTTTTATGCCCCCACCCAAGATCACTAAGGGTGGAGCTTTCAGTGGCTCCAGTTTGCAACCCCTGAGTCTCAGGCTGAATTTGGAGGGTCTGGCCTGAGGGCACTGCCAGAGGCTGGCCGTCCAGTCCTCCTTCTGAAGCTTGCATGAAAGGTGCCCTCTCCTGCTTGCCAGGATTCGGGATCCATAGTCTGCCTAAGCTGGGTGTTTGTTTCCAGCCTCAAAAACCCGAGGGCGGACCTCTAGCTCCACCCCGGGCTTACTGACTGGGCACAGCCAAAAGACCTCCCCACTCTGCCATGCCTTCAGGCTCCCTGCTGGCCTAGGAGAGGAGAGGCCTCTAACCCCACAGCCTAATTGAGAGAGAGATTTCCAAACTGCAGACAATATTTTGGGGGACAGTGGTCCAGGCCCAAGGGAGGTGCATCTTTAAATGCACCCCCACCCCAAGGGCTGGATTCAAAGCCCAGAATCTTTGGGCCTGGAAAAAGAGGAGGAGGAGAAAGCAGAGTCACCTGGAACTGACAGAGGGACAATACTAGGCCAGGACCCCAGCCCAGAGCTTCCAAGCCTAAGGGAGAAGCAGGTGTCTCCCACTGTAAGGGCAAAGCTGAGGCGCACACCTGTCTCGTGTGAAGATGTGTATGTATGTTCCCTGGGAAGGTGTGGAGTGGGGGCAACAAAGATGATCTCTGCCAGTTCCCCACGAATCTCTCTGGTGCCCTGACGACCCCGGAAAATACTGCTCCCAACTCCTCTCTTGCCTGGTTTCCCAAAAGAGGTTTTTGGACACCTGCCCCAACACAACATTTTATCTGGAATAAAGGAGTAATTGACACAAACATAAATATACAGTAGATGAAACCAAGGGAGGAAGCAGGTAACTTGTCCTGAAACCTGTCCCCTCAACTATGCTTCTGGTGGCAGTGCAGCCTGGCTCACTGTGGACTTCACTCTTCTCCCCCCATTCCCATCGGCTTCTCCCCGCATTTCCATCGGCTTCTCCCAGGTCTCACGGCAACCTAGTCACCAAACACAGGCATTTCTGCATTCTTAGGAGAAATGACAGGGGCCTGGGAGTAATAGTTTTAAAGGACGCTAGACTTTTTTTTTTTATTATCATTAATTGTAAACGTGCAAAATACCTGCTGGTACTTCACTTTAGAAGAATGTAATGGTAAAAAGAAAAAAAGGAAAAAAGAGGCGGCTGATGAATAGATAATAGATCTTTAACCACCAATAAACAGAGAGCAGCGCCAGCAGCCTGGGGATGTGATCATAATTATGCCGCCGCGCGAGCCAATGGGGACGAGGGAACTCGGTCCTAAAATCATCCCAAAACCGAAGGCGAGCTCGAAAATGCGGACAGGGCCTGGGACCGGAGAAACGATCCATAATCCCTAGTTGCACTGGGTTTGCACAGCAACCCCCCCTCCCCGGGACAACAGATGGCATAATAATAATAGAAATAATAATAATAAAATAATAGCATCCATAATAATAATAACATTGACCACAGTAACAAAAATAATTACGTCAGAACCATGATAGTACGGTAGTACCACATCAGGCTCTCCCCTGACCTCGGACTACCGCTCCCAGATATTCCAGAAGGAATTGTTTTGGGGAAGGAGGTGAGCACCCTCCCAGACAGAAAACGCTGGAGACCGTGGGGCGAGAGCGGGAGCGAGTTGGAAGCCCACTGCTTCAGCGGGGTCTGCAGCTCCCGGTCTCAACTCGCAAACGAACGAGCCGGGTCAAGACTCGCGAACGCACCGACCCTGGGACCTCGAGGCTAAGCGTGGTTGGTGGGATGGGAGGACCCCGCACCCCCCACTCCAGGATCCCTCCTGGCCTAGGAAATCGCTGGGAGTTTTGCTAAGGGTGGGGATTGGTATAACCGAACAGCGCCTTTAGCCCAGGAACCAGCCCCCGCCCGCTTACCCTCGCGGTGCTCCTGGGACGATCCCAGTTCCCCCGACGCAGGGCCGCGTAAGGCAGCAGCGGCGGAGCGCTAGGCGAAAGGAATCTGT